TATTGATATTATTTGTTTTGATAATGTTATGCGTCTATTATTTTAATTGATGGAGATATCATTAAATTATAATTTGATTGTGATTTGTACAAAAACATAGAATTTAATGAAATTATGATCAATTTTTATTTTCTCTTCTTTTTTTTCGATACAACATTTATAAGGAGAATAATTTTCCTAATTTTTAGCATTATTTTTTCTCCTTAAAGTCGACCTAACAATGACATAGATATATTTTTATTAAATGATTTTTTTAATAAGTATAATGAGAGAGATTCATTTTTTTTAAGAAAGACATAAACAAGTTATGATTTTTTTTTTCCAAATGAATATACGATTGTGTTGTATCATTTATTTCCTAAAATAAAGTGTTAGTGAGATTTTTTTAAAATTTAATTTTCTATGAAGCATTTATTTGTAGATAATATACATGACATGATATAAAAATTAGTGTAGATTTTGACATTTAATTGATGTCTAATGATACATAACAAGAATGTCAATTTTATAATGATTTCTCAATTTGAAAAATATACTATATTTTTTATATACATTTATTTTGCTCCAGAAGTAGCAATATTTTTTTTTTAAAAAAAGGATTAAGAAATATCCTTAGTTGGTTTATTGTCTCTTGAAGACTAAAACAAAATATTGATATTTTTTTTGTATGTAAGAAACCATTTTAACTAACATTATTTCATTCCCTGAAGTGAATGTTCTAATGTATTAATTTTTATCTTCTCATATTCAATAATGCAAGAAAATAATGTTATATGATACTACAAATATAATTAAAGGCTCTGGAAGAGCTAATATATTGTTACCAGGAGGAACGAAGTTGCATATCAAAAATGCATTATACTTTTTTAAGTCTTACAGAAACTTATTAAGTTTCAAGGATATTCGTTTAAATGGGTTTCATATTGAAACAAACAATGAAGGCAATCTAGCATATATTTATATTACGAAAATCCACTTGAATAAAAATGAAGTATTAGAAAAATTACATGCTTTCTCCTATGGACTGTATTCCACGTATGTTAATACAATTGAAACACATACTATTGTAAACCATAAGTTTACGAATCAAAATAAATTTGAGGTTTGACATGATCGATTGGGTCACCCTGAGAGTATCATGATGCAAAAAATAATTAAAAATTCATGCAGACATTTATTGAAGAGCTGGGAGATTCTTCAATCAAATATTTTCTCATGTACTGCTTGTTCCCAAAGGAAGTTAATAATTAGACCATCACCAGCAAAAATTGAGAATGAATCTATCTTATTTTTAGAACGGATACAAGGTGATATTTGTGGACCAATTCACCCCCCATGTGGACCATTTAAATATTTTATGGTTTTAATTGATGCATCAACAAGATGGTCACATGTTTGTTTATTATCAACTTGCAACCAGGCGTTTGCGAGATTATTAGCTCAACTAATTAGATTAAGAGCTCATTTTCCTGACTATCCAATTAAGAAAATTCGTTTGGATAATGTTAGTGAATTCACATCTCATGCTTTTAATGAGTATTGTCTGTGCATTGGAATTGATGTATTATTTCGGCAAGCCTCTCCAGGCTCAGTTATTCTGTACGATTAAGGAGTATTATTTCGGCAAGCCTCTCCAGGCTCAATTATTCTGTATGATGAGGGAGTATTATTTCGGCAAGCCTCTCCAGGCTCAGTTATTCTGTACGATTGGGGAGTATTATTTCGGCAAGCCTCTCCAGGCTCAATTATTCTGTGGGAGTATTATTTCGGCAAGCCTCTCCAGGCTCAGTTATTCTGTACAATGCGGTTGATTTTCTGAATCTCTGTCTTTTTTGTTGATTTCTGTATTTTTTCCTTTTTCTGTCGATTTCGGTTTTTTCTGTATTTTTGCCTTTTTGTTGATTTCGGCTTTTTCTGTTGGCTGCTGTCATACACAAGCAATTTTTCTATTTTTCTATTTTATGCAACTGCCTCCTGATAAGGTCTTTGAATGTGTAACTAATGTGTGTGTAATGCACAAATGCAAGTTTTATCATTTTTATTAATGTTTTTTAGAAGAAATGAATGGCTCTCCCTATCCTCCTCTTCTTGGAGGAATTTCTGTCGTCGACGCAAGGGAATACTTTTATGAGCCTTTTACGCAGGAGATTACGGATTTTATAGGAACCCCTCCAATTTTTCTTTATTGACCGATTATTAAAGGAATTTCGTACAATTTTATGAAACACCAATTTAGAGGCATAATCACATGGTCAAGAGAGAAAAAAATCAAAACAATGTCAATGTTGATGACGTGTTTGCATATAATATAGCGCTAAATGAAATAAATGATATTGAGGATCAAGAACCAAAGTCCATCAACAATTGTCGACAAAGAAATGATTGACCAAAATGGAAAGATGCAATTGAGGCAGAATTAGACTCGCTTGCTAAGCGAAAAGTTTTTGGACCAATACTACGTACACCAAAAGGTGTAAAACCAATTGGATACAAATGGGTTTTTGTGCAAAAACGAAATGAAAATGGTAAAATTGTGAGATACAAAGCAAGACTAGTTGCTCAAGGTTTTTCACAAAGACCCGATATTGATTTTGAAGAGAGATTTACCTGTAGTGGATGCAAAAACTTTTCGATATTTAATTAGTTTGATTGTACATGAAAAACTTAATTTACATCTAATGGATGTAGTTACAACATATTTATATGACTCTCTTGATGCTGACATTTATATGAAACTCCTAGAAGGATTTAATTTGCCTGAAGATGCAATTTCTAAGAGAAGATTATTCAATCAAATTGAATAAGTCCCTATATGGGCTAAAGTAATTAGATCGTATATGGTATAATCGAATAAGTGAATACTTGTTACAAGAAAGATATAAAAATGTTCCAATTTGTCCGTGTATATTTATAAAAAGATCTGAAAATGAATTTGCCATAATTGTAGTTTATGTAGATGACATAAACATTACTGGAACTCTTGAAGAGCTTTCAAAAGCAATAGATTGCTTAAAGAAAGAATTTGAAATGAAAGATCTAGGAAGGACAAAGTTTTGTCTAGGACTGCAAGTTGAATACTTAGAAAATGGAATTCTTCTACATCAAGAAGCTTATATAACAAGGGTGCTTAAAATGTTTTATATGGACAAATCACATCTATTGTGCACTCTCATGGTTGTAAGATCTTTAGATGTTAACAAAAATCCATTTAGACCCCAAGAAAAGGGTGAAGAAATAATTGGTTCCGAAGTACCATATCTTAGTGCTATAGGAGCACTAATGTACCCTGCTAATTATACACGACCTGATATAGCATTTGCTGTTAATTTGTTAGCAAGATATAGTTCTTCACCTACACAAAGACATTGGAATGGAGTTAAACAAATCCTTCGTTATCTTAGAGGTATAATGGATATGAGGTTATTATATTAAAATGTTCCCAAACCAGAACTAAATGGTTATGTAGGCGCAGATTATTTATTAGATTTTCATAATGGTAAATCACAAACAGGATATTTGTTCACAAGTGGTGGTATAGCCATTTTATGGAGATCTGTAAAACAAACCATATCAGCCACTTCATCTAATCATGCTGAAATTTTAGCATTACATGAGGCAAGTTGTGAATATGTTTAGCTAAGATTTGTGATTCAACACATATGGGAAACTTGTGGTTTATCTTCTAGAAAAATGACATCGACAATTATATATGAAGATAATGCTACATGTATTGCACAATTGAAAGATGGATACATAAAGGGAGATAGAACAAAGCATATTCTACCTAAATTCTTTTTTACTCATGATCTTCAAAGGAATGGTGATATAAATGCTCAACAAGTCCGCTCAAGTGACAACCTAGCAGATCTCTTTACAAAGTCACTTCCAAGAAAAAGTTTTTGAACAATTGATACACAAGATTGGACTCCATCGTCTTAAAGATTGTATGCATTAGGGGGAGAAATAAATATTTATGAATGATGTACTCTTTTTCCTTCACTAGGTTTTTATCCCACAGGGTTTTTCTAGTAAGGTTTTAACGAGGCACATTCTAAATATTGGACATCCAAGGGGGAGTGTTATGAATAATAATTAGTGGCTTAATTAGTGGATGCCAATATTCATTATCAATCATTACCATTTATATTTTCGTTATGTATTATTCCCTTTATTTGTAATTGTTCAGTTACCACATATACTTATAAATATTTAACCCTCTCCCAAAGATAATACACTAGTCAGATTCTTTTCTCTATCTCATACTGTCTTGTTTCTTCTCTCTACTTTTTCTTCCTTTTATAACATAGATAACATAAAAAATTAATATTAAACTTATTAAATTAATTTTAATGTTAATTATTATAATAAAATATTATTATCTTAAAAAAGATAATGATAAATGATAATGATAGTAACAATCATCGACAATAATAATGTTATTAACAACAATGATAATAAAAATAAGATGATGGTGAATGAGATTAATGTAAATAATTGACAAAATTGATGGTAAATAATGATAGTATTAAGTGACAATGATAAAGTTTAAGATAATGTTAATACAACATTATAATAATAAATATTTTTATATTTTAGAAAAATAGTACATTTGCGCTCTAGTACACAAACACTCTCTTCTCTTTGAAGAAATTAAATTTGGATCATCTCTTACGGTCAGATGAGTCGTTTGATTCATCTTTATCCCCTCACACATATGTACATGTGGTAATATGGCATAGAACATTTTGTTGAATTAACATAGATCCTTGTAGGACACGTGTCGAAAGGCCAAAACCATGCATATTGAATTCCTTTCTTCTGAACGACATAATCGGCGGAAGCTGAAGCCCCCAATGGTAATTAGCATGGCATGCAAGTTATTCTTAATCCAAATCCAAGTCCAAAATCAAAGCATATAAATCACATGCACTGTGACAGTCACAACTCAGAACCACAAACATTACATTGCATATTTATATGTAACCTCTCTTCCCTGAATCCCCCACAACAAAAACAGTAGCAACATGTCTGATTGGGGCCCAGTGTTTGTGTCGTTGGTGCTGTTTGTGCTCCTAACACCGGGGTTGCTGTTTCAGTTACCTGGGAGGTCAAGGTGCGTTGAGTTTGGCAACTTTCAAACAAGTGCTGCTGCTGTACTCATCCACTCCCTCCTCTACTTTGCCTTCATATGTGTCTTATTGCTAGCTATTAAGGTCCACTTGTACCTTGGCTAGTCACACCCATATAAAATTAATATATAGATCATTTTTGTATTCGAATAATGCAATTTACTCATGTACTTGTAGTTTTTGTTGTTGTCAATTGTAACTGAGTTTGGTCGCTGTTGCTATGTCTGTATTCAGTTTTCAATGCTAGTACTTTATTTTATTCAAAATATCATTTATGTCTAGAGCTGAGTTCAAACCTGCTGATGCTATACGTGTATGCATGTCAGCATGTAAGCGTTTAATTTTGGATTGATTTACAGCATTTATATAACTCAATTCAAGATTTGATTATTTAGCATAATGGTGGAAATGAAGTAGGTGCAGTAAAATAAAAATGTGCACATTCATAACTTTGTACACAGGGGAAGTGTTTCTTTTGGGGTGGCCACCAAAAAGTTTGAGTCAGTCTTAAATTCTTAATCAGCTACAAGACTTACAACAGAATCAAAGTTTTAAACTTTTCCATTTTATCGCAGTGGAGCCCAACGAATCAATGGAGGATACTAGAAAAACCATCGGGCTCTCCTCCGTCCTTTCCAACTTAAAAGTATTAGAAAGTCATAATATATATATATATATATATATATATTTCATAAT